ACTTAGACTGGGCCTCTCGTTTTTAGACAGCTATGGTTCTGTGAGATAAACCATGTCCAAAAACACTATCCAGTTGATGAAAATGAAGAAAAATTGAATTTCATTGGCTGAAATCACGGTATGCATAGTTAAAAGCAGCATGCATGTAATTTCCTCTTATTCCACACCTGGATCCTAACAAGTAGGTCAGTGCTGCGGCTGGCCACCTGCACCCCACGCTCTACCCATTCAGAAGGAAGCTCTGCCTCGCTGCTACTTCTGCAGCTGATGTCCTTTTCAACCGTGTTCATACTAACTCACGAAGCTTGGCCCAAAACAAACACAGGTCAAGAGAACTGTTCTGTTTGGGAAAGCATCTGAGCTTGTGCTTACATCCCACTCAACCCAAGACAGCTGATGCACTTCAAAATCCTCCGTGAATGAGGATACATCAGAGTAGAGCCAGTGCCAGACTGGGACAGAAAATGATGTGCTCAACCCCCGTGAAGAAGACTCCAAGCCAGCTTCTGCTGCACTAAGATCAAGGAGCATCAGAGCAGATCCCACAGGTATCAAAAACTCCCCACAGAACTAACTTGACCCCAGTGAAGGAGCTGATAACCAACCCTGCGGTGCTGGGGGGCTCTGCTGCATTATGCAGGACAAACACGCGTGACCCTCTCTCCCACACAGCCACCAAATGAGACTGGACCTGAAGCTCAGTGAGCAAAGGCAATGTGGAAGAAGGTGCATCAGGCTGCAGAAAGAGGTATGCATGCCATTTGCACCCTTCTCACACACATCTTCTGAGGAGCTTGGAAACATCATCATTGCACCTCAAGTCTCTCCCTCTGCCCTTTGTTATCATTCCTGAATATGATCGTCACACAGCAGAAGACAAAAGAATAAAATCATATTCCAATAAAAGTTAACACTGAAAAATAATGAATTAAGATCCCTTCCTGCTTAGTTTGGAAAGTAAAAATAAATGCTGACATTGTTCAAAAAGCAGCCCTGGACTGGCATTTCTAGTACAGAAAGAAAGAAAACAGAAAGTTCATTTTTCCTTACCAAAACTATGCAGATAACAAAAACAATTCTGCAAAGCAACAGTAAATACACAGAAAAATATACACTCATCTCCATGCTTGATTTTCATTCTCCTCTTCCCCTCAAAAAAAGTATTTTTTGATTCAAAAAGACTAATTTAAGATCACTGTAAAGCTGTCATCTCCCAGAGACTAACCCAAAGCAGATTTTTCAAGATACATAACCAGTTCTCCCTATTATGTGTATATATGTTCCTCTACTTTAATGAAAAAAGGTATCTTGGGCTCCAGATATTAAGGAGTGGACAGGATTCCAGCACCAGCTATTCTTCTGTTACTCCCTTTGACCCACGAAGATGAAATTTTCTCAGTTTCTTATATAAGTAGAATCTGCTTTCCAAATCTTTTGTTTAATTGTAAATAATAATGTTTTAAGGTCTTTTTAAAAATTTTCAGGGTTTTTCAGATTATATGCAAGTTTCCGCAAAGAAAAACAACAAAAACCCATTTGAAGCACCTAGTCTTAACTGATGCACACAGTGACCAAAGCAACACGCACAAAACAAGTCCAGATAAAACAAGGAGGCCAACAGAACACTAAAGTCTTCCTGCAATCCCAACAGAAATCATTCAGTCTTCAAGAGACCTTTAAAAAACCTTTAGCCTCTTTTACACAACTTTTAGCCAGACTGTGACTGGTTCGAATGGTAATAATGGCATTGATTTCAACCAGTTTATGGCTATTTATGTATGGCTATATAAATTGAGGATTTGAAGTCTTGAGAATTTTGCTGTCCTTATTATTCTTCCACATGAAGCCTTCAGAGCTTCACAATGTGCTTGCTTAACACTACAGCACATGCATGCTCAGTCCATTAACCTGAGAATGCGGTTTTTACCAGCCTGTTAGAATTTATTTCCACATAAATAGAAAAAAGGCAAGTTGAGACTATGTTAAAAATCTTTGCTGTATATGAAAACATAATTGGGATGGACTTTTAATACTTCTGTCGCACAGTAGTGGCAAAAGAGATATCATTAGTTAATTTTAGAGCTAAGGAGGGAAAGAATTAGTATCTCATTTATGTGTAGCACTGAGTTTCAACAGAATTCATTTATATCTTTATTGGGATACTACAGTCTGAAAGTGTTCCTTAGAATAGTAACTTTCAGCTAAATGCTGCCAGCAGATGGCTGGGAAAAAGCGTATCTAACAAAAAAAGGAGTGACAAAAAATATTCCAGAACACGCATTTTCTTAGGAACACTTGTGGAAGACCAGACTTTTGGCTACCATAATACAATACAAAGTTACAGTACAGGAGGACGTGTTGCAGACTAAAGAGCTAAAATAAGACAGTCTACAAACAGAGGAATAGGCACAGATAACAAGACAGTATCCAAGGAACTCATACTGCTAAATTGGTCTAGATGGGAGAAGACAACATTGTCATCGTTGAGTCAACAGTGCTGAAATGTCAGCAAAGTTACTTCATTTGGTAAATTGCAAGTGATTTTCAATGTGGTATTTGGTAAATGGTGTTGGTAAACACAAAACATGAACCCTGAAGGTATTTAATGCCATGGTACTTTCATATTAAGCTAGCCTACAGCTGGACCAGCAGTGTGCAAGACGGGAGTAATTTGGCAAAGGTAGTCTTTTGTCTGCTTGCAAAGAGCATTTGAACTGCCTGTAATATTCACAAATACTTTGACAATCTTGAAATAATCAAGGCACTTTGTGCCAAGGGATTTCAGCTTTTGACTTATTTAAACACTGTTCACAGTTATGAGTATCATTTAGAATAGCCAAAATTCTTAATTTCTCATATCTAACAGCCATATAGGCCCATACGTGCTTGTGATTATGCCCGGAGAAGCTGCAGAGCTGTATAAAGCTCTACAGGCTCCAGGACATTTTGTGAAAAACCAGCAACAAAACTATACAAAGAGGTTGTGTAAGGATTTTTTTTTTTCATCTACAGTAAAGATTGACCTTGCTTTCACAGGTCAATCTTATCTTCAGGGAAAGTTCCTAAAACATGTGACTTGACTTAAAGTCTTCCAGAACACAGTCTGAATTCAAGCATCCTGAGTTTAACAGATACATGCGGTCTATGTCTGTATTGGTAAATTAAACAGAGCCTGGGCATTGCCCAGGAAAACTGGGAAACAATTGTCTTCAGTGCTAAATGGCAGAGCTGCAGCCCAGCACAGCCAGAGCTTTTCCACACAATGTTTGGGCTCTGTTTCGAAGTTAGTACAGTACAGGGACCATTCCTATTAGCCCCAGTTGTCTGAGGACTAACAGAGCTGGCCCTGGCACTATCTAGTTTACTAGTACAGACGTAGCCATGGAGTCCTAGAAAACAGTCTGTGAATTACGACTGCTGGTGACCAGCAGACGCGCAAGGTCTCTCTTCATCTACTCTACTGCCACGAGCTGCTGAACTCCTGCGTGGTTTGCTGAGATCAAGATGCTTCCAGTCTACAAGACTTCAGCATCCTGATAGGAATAATGCATTTACAGAATTTGTAGGTCTGACTCGGAAGTCTGTGACAGTAAGGTAAATGCACAGTAATGGCAGAAGGTAATGGAATTTGCACAGAAGTTCACCAAGGTGTCCAACATGAGTACAGGCCCCACAATTTCATTTTGGGTTCAAAATCCAAACCCATGAAAATCAGTGACAAAATTCACGTCAACTTGGAATCAGAATTCCCCCTGCCAAGTTTACAAAGGTGCTTCTTTTAACGGATTCATTGGTGTTTAGATCAATTAGCTATTAAATCCCATGTCGTGCATGTAGACTTTGGCATGAGAACAAAACTGCTTGGCATAATTAGACCTGCAGTATTACAAGGTCATTGGTGTATTTTGAGGAGAGACCTACACGTAGTGTGTTGCAGATATAATGAACGCTGCCATATGAGGCGGTCACAAGTGTTTTAACACAATACCCCAAGCTTTGAGCTGTGGATAGCTCTCACACTCCATCAGGCTTTAACAATCGCTCAGGCTTTAGGGACAGATTCTGCTTTCACAATTTAAGAAAAAATGAGCCTTGGAGTGCTTTGATTTTTTCATTCACAGGAGGTAGATCACACAGATAATGTTTGTATTTTAAACATCACAAATATTGAGGATTTAAAAGACACTGCAAAAGAACATTTTTTCAATCATTCAGCAACAGCTTGAACACGTCTGACTGCCCGTGCTATCTATCGTTGCTTCCAAATATGGACCACAGGTTGAGTGCAGACTCAGAATTTGCCTTTTCCTCCTATCATTACAATTTTCAGATATGAGACCAGCTTGACAAGTAAAGCACCAGAATTCTAAATTTAGACAGAAGCAAAAATAATAACTTGAATTACTTTAGGTTTGTTTTAAAAAAGCATCCATATTAAAAAGATCTCTTTACCTTATTAATTAATACATTTACAGACTTTTGGCCAGAAGGGGTAATTCTGTGGAAAATAATTGCAAAATAATACATAGAAAACTGCAAAGATGAAACTCTGAATTTAAAAAGGTGAGAGAATCCTATTTTCTTTGCATTCCCCATTTTGCATCTTATTACCTTGTCACCTATAGATGACATTACATTATTCTGGCTACCAGGACTAGTATTACCTTACCACAAAATTGTTTTTCATAAGGAAAGTTCCTGCAGCCAGGTTTTTTATTACAGTTACATTGCCTCAGGATTGATATTCTCTGGTGTAGAATTCCCTTCTATTTCTTCTTCCTAGTTAAAGCTAGAAAGTGTAATGAAAACATGACCTGACCCAACTGGACTGATTGGCTTAACACTATACGTCCACTATTCCATTGTGGTTCTCTATGGGCTAGGTCATAACAGCATCTAGCTGGGCACTGGAGACTGGCCTGCCACAGTGAGACAATGTCAAGTGCCCTCTATAGCATGTCTAAAGATCTTCCTACTGCATTGTTTTAACTGTTTTTCCTTTACCTCTCTGCTCGGATTTTGTATCTGAGAACAAAATAGGCAATTAGGCGCAGAGAGAAGAAGAAAATTCCAAGAACAATGAAATCCAGGTAAAGTTTGGCATTTTCTACATCCAGTTCTCTCAGAATGGCCTCTGATTTTTGAAAATGGCAAGTATCATCTTTGTCACAATGCAGATCTTCTCGATCCAGTCCATAGATGGAGAGAATAACTCCTTCAAACCCATACCTGGAAAGAAGAAGGACGGATTACAAGATAAAGTCCTGATGATCTGTTTAGAAGTACTCTACCAGCAATACAATCCCTATGAGAGCTCGGCTGGAACCACCAAGGGGCTCAATATTGTTCTAACGCGTGTCTCGGGGCAAGTTCTATCCCTGTTACAATCAAGCAAATGACATCTCACTGGCACTTTATGTAAGATTGAACAAAGACAGCCTTTAACTGCTTCCAGTTAGCATACAGTGCAATTTCTCCAAAGAAAAATGTTAAAATACAGAGCAGACTAACTTCATATTCAGAAATTCCCTTTTTAAAAGTGACAATCATTAATTCCATTTTTTTAAACTAAGCAACAGGCATACAATTATGATTTGAAGTCAGAAATATATTAAAACTGGCATAAATCTAGAACATCTCTTTCCTTCTATGTGCTATAGTTTCACTGACAATGCACAGTTCCCACATCTCCGCTGGCACTGGGCGCACTTAGGATTTGACTTTGCGAGCAGATCATGGATCCCACGCGTATGATAATGCCCTCCAGCTTCAGGAGACCCCATGCGGGCTAGAGAACGGCTTAAGGCCTCATCTTGAATTCTAGCTACTAATTCAGGGGGTGTGGTCTCTTAATCTTTGATAGGTCTCTGTGTAAGACCTCTTTTGCCAAATGAGAGGATATTTTAGCTTGAGTTCTCCCAGTAATAGTGCAGCTTGGGCTGGGGGGGAGAAGGGGGATGGGAAAATTCACCTCCCCTAATATCAGCTCTATAGATTCCAGTGTCTAGTCTAAACTATCCCACCGTGCTAGCCTCCAGAGGCTTCCTGATGGCAATCATCCCATCTTAAGATAGCTGTCTCAGACAGTGAGAGTGACAGACATAGACAGGATATAAGGTGCCTATGGTTCTTAAAACACTAGTTTAGATTAGAGATTAGACAAATCCCATGACTCTTGTGGCAGTGCTACTGTGAAACTTAAAAAAACCAGGTCTTTACCCAACTAGTCTACCTAGGATACAGCAGTGATTTATGCAACATTTTCTTCCAAAATGAGGTGCTGGCATGAATTTCTCAGTTGGGCATGCTGTCCCTATTATTACAGAAATCCACTATTGCAAAATCCAGGAAGATCTGCATGCTGTGCAATCCCACTGAATTCAAGGGGACTGACATGGACTTGTGGCCGATAACCTGTACTGAATGTTTCCTATTTATTTCACGTCATATACAACATAAAATGCAGTGAGGTGATGTGGTATACATCATATGTACGTTTATAGTCTAAAAGAATGTGCTGTGAACATAGTCTCTTTGGCACCCAAAATAACCAGCCACACAAGCAAAGGCAAACAAACAGCATTTCCAGATGGAAGGCTAATGGCCTTCCTAGCAGTACCTGACATAGGAAATGTAGGACATCCACTGGAGGTATGTTGGGATGGTATCAAAGCTGACAAAAAACCCAGAGAACAGAAGCACCGGGATGGCAGTAACTGGGCCCACAAAAGTGGCCACCTGTGAATAGAGGAATAGACAGTCTCTTGTCAGACAGCCAGAGAAAAAAAAAATTAGCTTGCTCTTTAATCTGGTGTCCTGACCTCCAGTGAGGAAGCCAGCTTTTAGAAGAGCAGACTTTCCTTATGGCAAGTCCTCTGTTCTGTGCCAAACCCAAATAGGCAGTGCAAACTTACTCTTTAGGCAGTGGGGAGCAATGCCATTCAACTCCTTCTTATAAGGCTACTCCCCAAAATTATCACAGTTCCAAATACTAAGAAATTACTGATTTTTTGGACTAGATTTCTTGTGAGGGGGACGTTAGATGCTCTTAGTGGAGAAAAAGGGGTCCCTCTCCTCTTCCTAAACACTGCTGTGCTGGGATCTGTCCTTTGAAGGACTTGAACCCACCAAGAAGTTTCCAGAGCAAGATGGGCACTGTGATTCCCTTGCTTCTCTAGGTATGAGACCCCTCTTTCCAAATATTATCCTTTCTCACTCACTCCCCACTGAGGACACACAGACCTCCCTTCTCATTAACCCCACATGAACAGTAGCTTCAACTGGTCCTAAAACGTTGTGAAGAGGATAAGGAACATCTCCAGCTGGGTGGCTTCGGTGGCGAAGATAGATCTTGACCCAACTCCAGCCTGTCCTCCAGGACAAAGGGCCATATAGGTATCTCTGGGGAGGGCAGAAGCACAGGGATCACACAACAGAGCTACGCTGGTCTCCACAGGGTGGCACAGAGAAGGAATGAAGTCTTCTTCTGCAGAAGCTATCTTGATAGCATCAGTGCATATTAATGTCAGTATCATCTGTTATCACAAGCACCACAAAACAGTTCTGCTGTGGAATGGTCACCTCAGCACATCTCCTGTCAGGAAGCAGAATGGAGTTACATGGCCAGCTTCCAGTGTGACAGTCATGCCAACAGCTGCTTCTCTCCCTCCCTCTGCAGGAGTTTAGTTTCTGGGCAAGCCTCTTCCTACCTTGCCTCCTGCAGCCTTTTTGTATGTGTATGGAAGAACCCTCTCCTGAGCTACCGATCCTCATGGCCTACCTCCACTTTGTAGATGCGTAGAAATGCATCAGTCCTGCAGTTTCTAGGACCTGCTCAGCCTGGGATGAAGAATAAGTAACAACCCACTCAAGCAGGGGCAGGCACAGCCCCATTCAGATGGGGAAGGAACTTCAGAGCCTCATATCCAGTGCATATATATGCTGTTTAAGTTGATGCTAGTGGGAAGCATCAAATAGTTATATCAGACCAAGACAACTTTTTTTCTGTCATCTCTCAACAAATTTCTTGGGGACACAGGAGCAGTCACAGTAAGCAGTCAGTGTTAGGAGACAGCAGGGTTCCTGTGAGAACATCAGTACCTGGAGGGATGTAGAGGCTGCACCTATGAGAAGACCCAGTGACTGAGCCACCAGGGATGTCATGGTTCCCAAAGCTGCGAAGAGGACAAATCGGAGTGCATCAGATGGCTGTGAAGTCATCCAGTACACAATGCTGCAGTAAGCCACAGGAAACATGATCTGCAAGGAGATATACTTGGAGTTAGTCCATTAAAGCCAAACATTCACTGTTACTCTATATGAGATAAAAACATGGGGAGTTCTAGTTAATCCACAGCTCTCAGCCTTTCCGTTACATGACATGCATGGCTGAAGAGAATAAATACATCTGCCACAGACTGTGGTATCTATCTTACTACTTGGGCATTAGAAAACATATCCCACTCACTCACAGCCCTTTTCAACTTCCCTTCTGCAAAAAAACAAAGATGGTCATCTGTTTATTAAAAAATTTTGGGGTCAGGTCTCGGCTTTTGTGAAGTCCTGCTGTTTACTCTTAGGGCGCTTCTGATTTGGACCTGAAGCTTCAGCACACATATATGGACAGTTTCTCCACTATTCAGATGGATAAAATACCAGTACTAATCTTCTTGGCAAGTGGACTTGCCATGAACTTAAATGGTTCTTGTTTTATTGAAGAGTAGAGCATATACCTGAAAAGGAACATCAGCCATGGTTTTGGCGAGATAGTAGGCTTTCAGGCTGTACCAGTAGTTCAGATGCTCTCTAAGAAATACTCCCATCTCAAGAGGAACTATAGAGAACACAAACCGGTAAGTTAGATTGTCAGTGTGCAATATGGCTGCACATAACACAGTTTATCCATATCTAATCCTGCACTACTGCAGTCCCATAGTGGGACTGGAACTCTGAGGCCAGTGACAGAGCAGCAATCGTTTCAATGATTTGTAATGAAATGTAAGAGGCCAGCCCTGAGAGTTGCTCACTGTTTAGACTATGTACCAGTCTACTCAGATGATGTGAACCTCCCTTAAAGAGGCTTTTTGAATTAAAAGTGGTGTCAAAACTTAAAGAACCTGGTTATTCCTTTTGGTCCCACAGGGAATCCAAAGTAACAGCGCTCCCAGAGGAAGTATGGAACAGTCCATACTGCAGGAGTTTGCTTCTGACACCACATGAATACGCTGATCTTATGCAGGAGTCACAACTTGGAAGTCCTGGAGAAATTACTACATCCTCCCTAAGACCAACCACAAGCTCACGACACGGTTGAGATGCACTGGCACAAGGGGAAATTCCAGTCCAGGACTGTAACAGTGAACTGTCCAGGTTGAGAAACACTGGCAAAACTGGGGAGAGAGAGGTGCCACTGGACAAGCCTATCTCTGTTTGCCTCTACACAGCAGTTTAGTGAGTGCAAGATTTATCCCCACACCTGTCTTAGAAGTGGAAGCACAAGTCAAACATTATCTTATATGAAACAGATACATTACAACACCCTCCCAGCTTACTGCAATCTCCTTGTCCATTAATATAACAGTATGAGTGGTACTCACATGTAAGGACAGTTGGCATGAGTGCAGCAAACATAAGAAACAACATGGAAAAAAAGAGGAAGCCGGAGTTGCTGAGAACTTTCTTAGCTTCATTGCCAATGCCTAAATAGAGCAAGCCGATGAGCAGTCCAATGCCAATGTGTGAGGTGATACGCAAGTGTGTCAGGACCTACAAGCAAGGAAAGAGTAGTGTTTCTGATCAGAAATCCTGGGCTCAAAAACAATGGCAATATGACTGAAATCAGATATACAGATTGCAGAAAAGGAGTACTAATGTCCAGAAGAACTTACATAGAAATGTTCATTTCCTACTGGCAAACTGGGCTTCAGCTTAGGAAAACTTACTGTAATGAGCTTCCCAATGTCAATCAGACACGGCTATTACAGTACAGAAAATTTCTTCCTGTAAATACAGGCAGAATCTGCAAATGCTGCAGCCTGAAATCTTACTGTCTGACAATGTCATGGAGCCATTGGCCCTCATTCATTAGGAGAAGGAGACCCTCTCTCTGACTAAAAGATAAATTTCCCAGGGCAGAAGAGAGGCAGAAAAGATATTTCAGGCTTGTATAGACCAAACTAACTTAGCCTTCTGTGCCTTCTCTGCCATACAGTATTCCTACAAGAGGTATGGAAGAACAAAAGAAATAATAATAAAATTTGGAACAACTGCAAGCCTTTACAGTTGAGCAGGAAAAAAAATCCTAAAACCAACACTGTTCTTCAATCTATGCATCAGAAAGAAAGTTACGGTGTCCCCCTGGTGGAGACGAGGAGAGGACCATATGATCCATGGTGGTGGAGATGAGGAGAGGACCATATGATCCATGGTGGTGGAGACGAGGAGAGGACCATATGATCCATGGTTAGTGCTCGCACACCTCTGAGATATGCTCTCCAAGCGTACCAGAGACATTCTGATCAGCTGGTTGAGCAATATGGAGAATGTGAAGCTGTACATACACTTTGGATTACAAGAGCCCTCCCACATGAACATGTCAGTTTATTTTTGATCAAATATTTCGTACTAGACCAGATATGCAAACTATTCCAGATTGCAGGAAGGCAAAACTCAACAACTTAATCTTTGAATGACAAATGCACTATAATGTAAAACAGTAAAGGAGAAGAACAAGTTATGGCAAAGAAATGTGCTGGTAAAACAACAAATGGGCATAAGGTATACCGTCTGGAAATAAGAAGATGCTTCCTAACCACTAGAATTGCATGGTTCTGCCATATCTTCCCAACCAGAGCAGTGGAGAAAACAGCTGATTGCTTTTACTATGGCATTCAATGTAGTGTTTCCCTTTCTGAAAGGAAAGGAATACTGTGGTTATCTGACAGCAAAGGCTTGGACACAATGGTACAGTAGGTTTCTTCCAAGCCTGTAGTTCTGTGTGGACATGTCTACACTGGAAATGCTAATGTCCTTAAGAGATACCTGCCTGGGTGCAGGGCAAAAGTAGTGCAGCTGCAGCATCTGGAGCTCTGCGAAGCCCAGCTTACCCTGGCACAAGGGTAACTTACTCATGCTGAGCTCCACATGGCTCAACTACTTTTGGTTTCCAAACTACCTCATCCGAATCCACCATGTGCCCATCAGTATAGATATATTGTCTGGCTTTCCCCTTTTCTAAGGATAGGTATGTCAAATTAATCCATCAATATATATTAATGTATATATTGTCCTTCCCCCCCTCATGTAAAGCACTGAAAACCTTCCAACATGCAGAAAAAGCAACAGACAAACTCTTCTCAGATTTATCAAATTGCAAATTTGCCACAGAGAAAAGCACTTGGCCAGCCAATAACAATTATACTGTACACGGATGAGTTCCTTGGACAGGTGTGCATGTAAGGTCCAGTTGAGGAAGCTCATCTCCTTAACTCACACCTGTTAATGAAGGGACAATCCTACCTAGAGGACATTTCAAAGCATCAATCAGACAATGTAAATAGTCCTATCTCTTAAATTCACAAACAACTCAGCTACTAAGAGATAAGAAAAACTTCCTTGAGTAAAAAAAAAGGTCTCATTACATTTTGTGAATGCAAACTAGGCACCCAAAACATTTAATGAACATACATGAAAACTGCAGGGTTTGGGATTTTGAAGGGGGTTGTTTATTTTTAAGAAAAAAGGTGAAAGATAAGGTCTTTTTCCTTGGGAATGAAGAGTTTCGTTATGATACTTACTTCATATTGGTATTAAATGTATGAAAACAGAAATGTTCCCTTTTCAGAGAAGCAAGATTTTTATTTACCAATTTTCTGTTTCAAAACCAAAGACTTTAAGTATTAACCTTACATCACACTGAAATTATTATCTCTGCCACCCTGAGTCTTCTGGAAAAACTAATTTTGTGACACACCTGTACAACTTCTCACTCACTTTTCAGTAGGATAAATAACTGTATAAGGGACCTGCCAGCAGAGAGCTTTAGGTTTTTAGGCCAGAATCTTCTGAGTTCCTCTGAAGAAAACTGTTGTTCACAATGAAGACAGTACAGTTAATAGCAAGACTGAAAGATCAGCCTCCTTCCTTTGAAATTCTGTGATGATCTTCATGCATGGGCTGTTGGACAGGACCTTTAAGGCGTATTTCACTACCTCACAACCAACTGAATAGACCTTTTGGCTACAAAAGTTATTATAAAGGCAGTCTTACCGAATCCCTCATGATGGTAAGAAAAGTTCTTTTGAAGAGGATACAGAACTGGGTTAGGCAGCTGGCAGAGAAGCTGTGGCAGCCTTCTGTGGAGGAGGAATCCTGCGGAAACACGTAAGAGAATAAACTTCTTTCTTTGCAGTATCTTGCTTAGCTTTCATTCACAAAACCCTACTCTCATCAGCTGAATGTGCCCAGAAACCTCCTCCATTGACCGAGGATTTAAATTCTCTTCCTCCCCCTCCAGCCTCAAGCCATGCCCGTTAGTTGTGATACAAAAAATACCTCTTCAGAAGGCCGGTGCCAGAGGAAGGGATTCAACTCATTCTCACCACCAACATCTCTCTTGTAGTCTGCGTCACATATCCTCTCCCGTACTGCCCTTACCAGCCGGCTGTTCTGGTCTCCATATTCACCAGATGCTACTTCCATAACTACAAAAAAACAGAAGGTAAGTTACCGATTTACACTACTGAGTAGTTACAAGCCTTATTATTAGATCCCCTTGATTCTGTAGCATTGACGGAAGCAGGAGTTTTGTCTAGAACAGGCTCTAAAATGCCACCTGCAAATTCATATGTATACACACATAATTTGAATGTATCTTTCTATAAAGCTTCAGAGAGTTCTCTTCATCCTGGAAGTTAAATGAACCATTTTAGAGGAAAGGCAGTGAATATGGGATAGTCTCGGTAATAAAAAATTACAAAAGTCTATTTTTGTGGTCCTTACTGCTTCTTTGGAATTAAGAAACAACAATGAAAAAACCCTCAATGCTATTAGCTGTACAATACCACAGTGGTATTGTTCAAGGTAAAAAAACAGAATACTGGAGCCACTTTGAAGCCTGGATACTGGAGCCACTAAGATTAATTACTATGAAACACTAAAGAATATGTTTTATCTTTCATTTCCTGGACTTGGACTTCCACCAGAGAGAAATATTCACTAAATTTTGCCACTAGATGGCATTCAAATTACTTAGAAAAAATGTGAATAATTTTATTTTGAATTTTGGTACATGTATGTATACACGCACATATGTATACATGTACAAAAGTATAAAACACACCATGGTCCCGATTACCCTGAAGGTGCTAATCAAATACAAAATAAATTACATAAACTATTCAAATTGTCCTTACCAAAATCTGCTGGATTGTGGTAGGTTGGGCAATTCAAACCCAAATCTCTCAAGTACGGTACTAGGTTTAACACCTTCCCACGGTAAATGCATTGACCTTGACTTAAAACATAGAGCTGGAAAACAAGGCAAAGAAAAGAAAAAAGAAAAAAAAAAAAAGAAAAAAGAGAAATGTGAAATAGTATCAAAATATTTGAACCTGCTATCTGTGTGACAGCAATCCATGAATCTAATGACCTCTTCTTGTCCCTGTGGGAAGAACACCTTGGGAAGATTTGCTGCCACTTGGAACTACCTTTGCATGGAATTACAACTAATGGAAAATGAAATGCTTAAGGTTTGAATTCTGCAAACATTCCCTCCAGGATTTAAGCACATTAACACAGAAACAGACTAATTCCAGCCTTAGACACATGCTGAAAATAAGCAAGAAACTGTAGAGCGGAGCCATCTAATTTCCACACATTATGGATATTTTGGGCTGGGAGACGAGGCTGGTGAATGCAGGAATGGAAGGAGAGGTGGAACAGCACAGCAATGGAAAACAGCTTGATTATTCTTACTTTTAGCCACGCTATTGACGTTAAATAAACCTCCTTGCCAGACTGGCAATCTGCAAGAGCTTGTTCACCTATGGTGTAGTAGGTTTTCTCTCAGCTCTCACAGGTCTAATTTAAATCTCCTAATAAGATTAAAGTAAATTTAAATCTAATGCGTGGTCTACATCCTGCTGTTAGGTTGGAGAAAAGATCTCCAACTGACTTCATTTCAATTATTATTATTTCACATGAATAAACTCTTCTGAATTTACACCTGTGTAGCTAGGACGAGAATGTGTACTAGCAACATTGCAGACATTGGCACTAAAACTCTCTCGCTCTTAAATTAATTTACTTTACTGACAGCCCTGTACCCAGGAGCAGTGGTGCGTGAAGGCATGAAAATTACAAGTGCAATAATCATGATTTCACAAACATACCAGCCAGATTCTTGAAAAACATTACATGTAAATAATGGAAACAGGCAGAGAAGAAGAAAAAATCATAATCAAAAAGTATATTTTGCTCTTATTTATTTAACTCCTTTATTTGATTTGGAACCATAGACTAAAATTATTCATGTTTTTACTTAAAGAGTGTATCCTTGAAAGTATAACCTACCTAAACCACACATGAAGAGAAAGAGTTTGAGAACAATACCTGATCAAACAACTCGAACAGTTTAGCACTGGGCTGGTGAATCGTGCAGATGATGGACCTGCCACCCTGGGCTAATGCCTTCATCAGAGAGACAACCTGAAAACATGATGCACTATCCAAGCCGCTGAATAAAAAGACAGAAGTGTGTTATCCACAGGTCCATAGGCACCACTCAAAACTAGCACACGTATTTTCTACTTTGGTCTCTCACTATTATCCTTTTATAAATTTTCTCTGTAGCAGTTTAATTTTATGATATGCCAACATTATGCTTTTATTTCTCCATCAGTCTTTTAATTAAGTTGGAAGCATGCCTGAGAATGAAAAATAGAATATTCTCAAAGCTGCCTTAAGGGACTTCTACATTTTAGGGCTGCAGATCTAAATGCTCCCAACTTTAATGAATAGATACATATTCATAGTTCTCCCAGCCTCCTCCTAGACTGATCACAGAATTTGATTCTAAATACGCTACATTCATTATTAAAGTCACACTTTAAAATGCTTATATTCAAGCTATCTTTGCTCGAAAAAGAAAACTCATGCCACAATCTGAAAATATTTTCCCCTCTCTCTTCCTTCCTGTTTCAGTTTGTGTCTTCCTTAAAAATTATTTATATCTGGCAGTTACAGCAAGGCACTTAGTACCCAAATCAAATTATTTCTTGTGGCCTTATTCAGTACTTACAGGCATCACAAAATGAGCTTTTTCCAAGGACTTAGAGGTGAATAACCTTTCTGCAGCGCTGTTCTACTATACAAAGCGATATTTGTCTACCTTTAATTTTTGGCTTTGAAGTACCTGGTTGGTTCATCAAAAAACATGACAGGAGGATTGTTCACCAGCTCCAAAGCAATGGCAAGACGCTTTCTCTGGCCTCCAGAAAGACTCCCAGTCCTCGTATTGGCACATGTCAGCAAACCGAGGGCTGTCAATATTTCCTTTACCTAGAGGAAACACAACAATGCGTCATTTAAATTTGTTAGCACAAAAGAAAAGCCTCTTTACTGATTTTCATGGAGAATGTAAACTAGCTTATGACTTTGTTTCACCATCCGTACACCGAAGCCTTTTTCCGTCTAATGTAAGATTTATTAGATTCAGTGGGGCATAACAGTCTACCATTTACTATTTTGACCCAAATTCTACTTTTTTGTCCTACATGACCTGTCTCAGTAAGGAAGCCTTGCCTGTGAAAATGGAGTGGAAATCAGTTCTTCTATAGCACCCCTTGGATATGGCACTGATATCAAAGAGCTTTGCAGCATCTGAGGAGTTATTACACAGTGAAACCAAGAAGCTTCTTTCAATAGAACTTCTAGGCTGTATTTACAAGGGACTGGAGAATTGTGTAATAAAAATCAGTGGTTCTATAGAGCAATGACCTGCTCTTATCTCATCTGTTCTTCACAGTCTACTCTTTAAAGTGCGGCCATTGATTTTAAGCGTTTTCACTCTCTTCAGAGCCAATTCATGCTCTCAGATGTTTGGGATTTCCTCAAGGCACAGCCTCAGGAAGGGCACAGCTTGTCCTTGGAGCAGAGGACAACCCCAGCCACTATGAATTTTTCTGTTTCAGTGATTGTAGATCTGGCCTGGTAGCCCTATATGAGGAAAATAGCTCTTTGGCATTAGTAAAAACATGGACATAAAAATGAGTGAATCCAAGCTACATTGCTCATGCAATTAAAAAATCCACCACTTAAAAGGTAAAAAGAAAGCCCAGACATGTAATACTTCACTGAAGTGTACGAAAAGGAGCCTGTCATTTTTTGAAGTAATAGTTGCCTGGATGGAGGGAGGTTTCCAGAAAGTGTGGCTAACACGGTAAAAATTGGTTAGACCAACCAGGGCCTGACCCTTCATTTATCCTGATTTTGATTTCCAGGAGCTACCTCTCTCAGTGAGAGGGGGTGAAGAAAGAAGAAAACCCACTAACCCTCGTTCTCAGAGAGAAGAGTCCAACTACCTCCTTCCCTTTATCTGTAGGAAGGATGCTACGGGACATGGGCAGCACAAGCTAGGTCAACTAGAAACATAACCTATGGTTCACTGGAGGATTTTTTACTTGTCCCTGTTTTAAACAAGCATTTGTAATCTTGCTAACAAGTGCATAAATTCATAAAATTTATCTGTGATAAATAGTTACCTTACAATTTACAACAATAAAATGAATTATCTAGTCCAGCACAGGCCAGTAACATTAACCAGAAAATGACTGCCCTTATAGTATGTGTTGAATAAATGCATAGAGCACAGGTTTTTCCTCAAAGAGCTGCTTGTAATTACAGTGACAGTGTGAACAAGTGAATTAACTTGCTTGGCCTAACTTACTAAAGTGTAAATTAATTAAGACTTTCAAAGAACAAATAAAATTAACAGCTGTTTCTAAACAAATGTATTTTCCAATAAAAAATCTGTGTTTAGCTTACTAAAAAAACCAAAAGGATTTGAGAGAATCAAAGCAATCTTAAGCTACCAAACATATGTTGATTCCTTTAAGTTTCCCTCTCTGGAGCTCTTTCTGATTTTAGGGATTCACTGAGATTGAAGAAATGCCAAATGTTCCAATTTGGAAATAAATACAGACGAAAGACAGCCACAAAAATGGCTGCTTTACCTTTGAAGAGTTTTCACGTTTCAGGCAAAGGTATACCTGGTGGGTCAGAAGCAGCTTCACCTTCTCCTTTATAAACCTCTGCTTAAGAATCACATGCCAGCTACTGTCAGAGGCGTCTTTTACTAGAAGAGACTCCTCTGAAATGGTTAAGTCCAACAAGCCAAGTTCAGGCCTCCATCAGATAAAAAATTGAATTAAACTGGCATCTGGGGAAGAGCAGGAAGCCTCTCATGTTCCTGAGACAGCAGGCCACAACTGTCTCACATCCATGCTCCACTCCGACTCCTGTGTCCCCTCATCTCCTCCTTCCTCCTGCACAACTTGGTTTCAGTTGAGTCCTGCAAGGTGGCTTCTCCCAGTCACCTGCATGATTTCCTAATTTGCCCATGGAGGGTCTCCTCAGTGCATGGCTTTGGGAGCACAAAATGCACCAAAATGAAAATCTCACCCTTCTTTCTATTTATGAAAAAGAACACTGAAAAATCATGGAAAGTCCAAAACTTGAATTTTACAGAAGTATAGCAAAACATTGGGAGCTTCCTATACCAATAGTAACTCCCTTTTCATTGCTGGGACAACTGAGTTGCTAAGCCACTAGAAGACTTGTCCAGAGTAACATACATGTCCCTAACAAAGGTAGAAGGAGCAGCCAGCTTTCTTGGAAGGTAAATCTCAATGTTAGCCATGGGGCCATGTTATCACATGAGCCCCATTACCCCTCAGCATAACCCTCACATAACAGAGGCTTCCTCCTCGAGGAGGCACTGTATGAGAGATCGTACTATCTCCTTGTTGGTGCTGTCTTACGTTGGACTGAAACATAGCTTGAGGCTAGCCAAAACACCTCCAAACACTTTCTGAGCTACCGTTTCACTTTTCACGACTATCTCAACAACCTGAACCATCTCTGCTTTCACCAATGCCATAATTTTTTGTTTATGTTTAGCTTCAGACATTATCCTCCCTGGGCATATATGGTTTTGAAACACGCTGTGCAGCACCGAACTGTTCCTCTCCTAGACTTCAGCATGCTCTGGTAACTCCACCTGAGCACAGGCAGATGCCTGAGCTCTGAGTGTCCTTAGGAATACACAGGCCCAGACATTTTAAGTGCAGAATAAATGTGTAGAAAGGGCACATTTAAAGTATAACTGAGGTAACCAAATTCAGTTGAGAAAGCCACCTCATGCACAATCTAACACGTCAGAAGCCATTTGGTCTGGTCACACACCTCCAAGGTATTTTCTTTAAAAAGACAGCCCTGTGTCAGAACAAATGACGGGGAGGAATTGTGGCAATCAGATGGGGGAGAGGAGCACACTTCCTAGTGCAGGTCCAGCTGGGTTATAGGTCTCCGTGGGCAAAAACACACCAGGACTTCTCTCCCACTCAATAAAGTCATATGTCAGCTGCAGGTAGAAGCAGGACAGTGCAGCAAATGTGCAAGAGTAAATTGTGCAACTCATTCCCAGTGTTTTAGAAAAGATAAGCACATGTTTTAGCCTGGTTTCCTACTTATCCAAACCCCAGTCACCCAACGCAGCTGCAAAATACATTAGTCTGTATCTTAACTGCAACTGTATTAACTTGTCCAGTGCAATATGCCCACCAGCATAGCCATAACAATCAACGCTTTCAAACACAAGCACAGAAATTTCTGCAGCAAATACAAGAACTGCTGAGTTTTTCAGTAGTCCTTGGAAAAATTAAGGCCTACACTCACTATTGCCAGACATGACTGATTTATCTCGTCACACACGAGATACCTGAGCCCTCAGACATGCATATAAGAGTATCTAAGGTGCTAAGGTACATTAAAAGGTATCCTACAAAACCTGTGAATTTATTCCAGTAGTTCTTTTACAATTATCTACTCAGTCTCATACTGAAAGCAACTTTCACAGAGACTGTAGTAAACATTCCCTCATAATGATACCTGTCAACTTTGAGGTTATGATTTACTCTATCATTACAAGTCCAATGCAATTCAATGTTAGATAAAAATGTCTACTTTACAGAGCTCACTTCCTGGACTTCTTTGGCATCCCCCAAAATTCTTAGTTTGATGGATAGCATACATACCATTTCTCTCCTGCCTTCATCTTTCTCTTGAAGTTTCAGATGAGCAGATACCTGGAATGCAATAGAATGGAACTTGATTTTGAACTGGTGTGAAGCACAAGAAGTTACAGTGGTTGTGTCAGGCACAACATCCCGACATACTATTTAAACAACTTCTTTCAACCCAGGAAAGTTCAAGTTGAACTATAATGTTCAAATCACAAGCATCACACACACCTGTGCAGTACGTAACTGAGTATAATCTGACTTAAGCAATCACTCAAGCATCTGACAAAAAGCTTAGTAGAAAGAAAGGCCATTCTGCAAGTCAAAGAGCTTGAGAGGAAGATGGGAGAGTCACGTTTTTTGCATAACCACTAACTTCCCAGGAAATGCTAGAATCACAGTTTATTTGGGCTTCATCCATATCACAAGGATAACCAAACTCTGCCATCCTCCAGGATGTGAACAAATGAGTACAGAAATAAATAATCTTGTGAAAGATGTCATCTGCTGTCCTAAGAGGCAGCTCCACAAAACATTATGATTAACCCTTATTAGAAGCAATTAAACTGTTAAGTAATTATTTTTGTCAGAGCCTTGATTGATTAATTTAGCAAGTATCATCTGGGCCCAATTCTAGAAAAGTGGTCCTATGGGATTCTGACTACGATGTTCAAGTAAACAAAAGAGAAGAAAAACTTCCTCACAGAGAAGAGCCTTTGCGGAAAATTAGCCACATAAAAACTACAGTGATTCTGGCCTTAAAATTTGTGAATTGATGCCGGCACACAGTATGAGCAACCTTAGCCTTATTTTGATAACATCCTCTGAAAAAAAATGGGTCGTTTCTCAAACTGAGCAACAGGCACTTCTAGACTAATTGGTCAAGCTGGCAATTAGTAAACTACTTGATGCTATGAAGAACAGTACGAAGAATTTACGTTGCCTGTAAGTCGTGGGATTATTCTGTTCTTTTGTTTTCTTGAGAAGAACTGGAAGAGATTTTATGTAACGCCTTTATTAAAGAAAAGGCACAAAAGAGTAGAAGTAGCAGAGAGACCACGCTCAAGCACTTTGCAGTCAGAACACGGAAGATGGGGAGAAAGAGAGAGACAAGGTTACTCATACACCACCCAAGAAAAAAGATGGTCCCTACAAAGGCTTATTCTGTGCAGAACTTCAGGTTCCATTCTCTAGGAGGTCTAAGCAGTAGAGCCTTAGATCTTCTTCCAAATCATAATGCTGGTCACAAATTGAAAACGATGAAGCTAAAGAAGCTCAGACAACTCCTAGAAGGATGAGACTGAAATGGAATTCAAGGCATCATCGAAATCCAAGCACCCTCATTGAGTGGGATCAAATAGAGATACCAGCTCGTGACATTACCAGGAGTAAGAACATGTGCACAATACACAGAGATTTTTTCATTTTCTCCCGCCCAAATAAATTAGAGCAAGAAACAAAGCTCACCATCATAGCTTCCTGGACAGTCAGATGAGGAAGGAGCATGTCATCTTGCATGATGTAGCAGGAGACTTTGCGAAAAGAGCGCAGGTCACGAGGCTGTCCATTGATGAGAATTTCTCCTTTCATTCCTGTCTCTCTGAAACGAACCAAGAAAATAACCAGGGGTGAATCTTGCCTTCACTTGTGCAGCCACAGGCCATGGAAGTCTTAGGTAATTATTGCCCACTATGGAATAAAACTGATACAGTGGATAGAAATTAATTTATTTCATGATTATATTCTCTTTCATAAGAGGCTTCACGCAATGTTGCTGAAAATTTTACTCAGTTAGTACAAAATGTGTGCTGTCTTATATGAATGTCTGAAAAAATATCAAGCCATTCAAGTCTTTTTTTTTTGTTTCTCTATCCTGTTCTTTATGCCCTAATGACAACAACACAGAGACATTTTGTATTTGGCCATACAACTGGGGATTCAGGAAGATGAACCACAGTCACTTCACACGCTGCAGTTTGGTCAAGAAGACATCAACGTTATGAAAGTGGCGACTAAAAAGGGACATTTTTTTCAAGTGTTTATAAAATGTGATTTAAAAAATATCACAAACATAAGACACGGAGTCAGATTTGTTACACAGCTAGAAAAGAGACATTTTTTTTGTGTTTTTGACTTTAAATTGCTTCCTATTTTTGGATCAGACTTGTTAACAGATAAATCCTAAGTGACCAGAACAGGACAAACAGGAAAAATATAAGCAATAAGAATCTAATTCAAAATTGGTGAAATACCTGTTTTCTACAAACACGGGGGTAAGATTTCTTCTGCTGTTGTCTCCAAGGAGCCATCAGGCTAGGTTATCTTATCTTACTTGCGATTTTCATTGTTACTGACCTGTATCCTGCCAGAATGTTCATGAGCGTTGACTTCCCAGCTCCTGAAGGACCCATAATTGCCACAAGTTCTCCACTGCTGAACTTCCCTGAAATTCCTTTCAAAAGGGTCTTATAACCTGAAAGAAGAAAGAAAAGTTCACTGAACACTTCACAATCACATCTGGGGGGCAATGAAAGTTCATTTCTACTAAACAATGATGACAAATAGGCATTAGCAGGTACTTACTGAGAGGCTGATGCTAAAATCAGCACACTGCAATAACTATCAAAAGCCAAATTCTGAGTGGGAGCAGCAGCCTCCTCCCACTATACAAGTAGTATGGTGGGATTACAGGATCACACACTCTTGATTCACTCCAGGAAAATTTTCAAACAGGTCTAAGAAGCCTTGCTGCCATTTTCTAAGTGTCTTCTCAGAGTATTTTACTAGGACACTGGTGCCTCCGTTAAAATACCTAATACTCCACAGCTAACGTAACTCCACAGCCTTGGAACAGACTGCCCGCCAATCACTGCAGCTTCAATGCCAAAATTCTGCCCTCTCACCAGAACAATAACTTCTTGGAGAGTAGTAGCCATGATCTCAAAGGCAAAGTCCTATGCATTTGTTCATTCCCTGCTGAAAGAGGTATGACAAGAGGTATGACACAGCAAAAAAGACATATAGGAAAAGACAAACCTGCTACATTCTCTTACCATAAGGACTCTCTTATCATAAGAACTCTAAAGGCTTGTCTAGACAGGGAGACTGACCAAAATAACTCTGTAAAAATAATTCATAGGGAAATACTTATTCCAGATTAATAACATGCAGGTTTTTGTCTCATTTCGATTAATCCACTTCAGAAGATCATGCCACAATAATTACGTCCTCAGGCAAAGCTGCTCTAGAATAACCACAACACCAACTTCAAATATCTCACCTTAATCCTGAGTAAATTACCTTTGTCAGTAAACCTTAATTTAAACCCCAAACTCCATGTTACTCTAGGTGTAAGCAAACTGGACTCCAATGAGAATTCCAGATTCAGACTGAGTTGCATCTATCTTGTCCTGCATGATTCCCATTTTAAGGCATAAAAACTGGGTAGGCAGGGTGGAGAGAGGCCTGACTGGCATTTAAACTTTTCAGGATCTCTTTCCC